ATGAAGGTAAGATTTTTTGGTCATTGTTAATATAGTTGTTGCCTGTTGCATTTTCAATTTGACATGTGAATGAAATTCTGTTCTCTTAAAGAAGGAAATATGATCATTGCTGCCTTTCAGACTGTCCGGGAGCAATCTGTTCTAATCTCAGATGTCCCTGCTTGTTATAAATTACTCAGTCTTTGGGAGAAATCCTAGTATCCTATTTCAGGAGAATAATTTTTACTAGGCACCAGGTACTCTTCTATTCGATCCGCCTAACCACCATATGAACTTCACTGTCGTCTCAATTTTATGGAGGAACAAATTGAAACAGAGAAATTTGTCCAAATTCGCACAGCTCGACTAGGTGTCCGAGTCCTTGCTATGAGCCACGTTGCCGCGTTATGTTGCAACATCTTTTTATTTAGTGAACATTTTAAAGCTCTTCCCACCTACTTCCTCAAAGGAAACTCATCCTGTTAGGACACCAAGGAGAGTTTCACAGATACAGGGATGCACACACTCAGAGCAAACTGAAAGGAGCTGAAAATGCTGCAGACCAGAAGTTTGAGATGAGTCGTTTTTTTTCCATTGGAGCACTTAATCTGCTCTGATTTGCTGGCAACTAAAAAAAAATTGAAATGTTAGATTATATGGTTCTCGTGTAGAGCAAGCACGCAAATTATTTTGAGAACACAAGTTTCTGGCAATTGAATTCTAGAAGCAATTTCTAGAATTGTAGTAAAAAACTAAAACTATTAGGGTTTTAAAAATATCTTTATTGTGAAAATGAATACTCAGAAAAATACATTAACATAAATGTACAGCTCACCGAATTGTTGTAAAGGGAGCCCCACCTAACCACACCCTGGTCAAGAAATAAAAGCTTCACAGACCCAAAGAACACAAACATGACCATTGTAATTTTTTTTTAAAGATTTTATTTATTCATGAGACACACACACAGAGGCAGACACAGGCAGAGGGAGAAGCAGGCTCCGGCAGGGAGCCTGACGCGGGACTCGATCCGGGGACCCCAGGATCACGCCCTGGGCTGAAGGCAGGCGCCAAACCGCTGAGCCACCCAGGGGTCCCTGTCTTCTTTTTTATTATTCTACAGTATTTTACTGAATGCCTGCACCACGTGTGAGGAATGGACCACAGTTTGTCCATTCCTCATGAGATGCACATTTGGGGTATTCTGGGGGCGGGCTTTGTGAGCAGTCTCGTCTAGGTCTCCTTCCTGACTGAAGTGTGTGCGTATTTTAGGTGAGTCACGGGGGAGCACAGATCCAACTTCTGTAGATGATGCCTAGCAATCTTCCAAAATAGTTATTACCATTTATACCACCACTGGTAGTGTCTGAAAGCTCTTTTCTAAGTCCTTAAGAAGACTTGAAATTGTCCATCTTTTCCATTTTAACCATTGTTGAGGGCATAACGGCATCTGATTCTGGTTTAGTGCTCTCCTTATTACTAATGAGGTCGACCCTTTTTTGTGTGCACCAACCATCTGAATCTCTTCTATGAATTAACCTCCTAGTCAAGTCTCATGCCCAGTTTTCTACTGCATTGTCTGCTTTTCCTTGAGTTATCAGGATTTTTTAAAAGATTTATTGGGGATTCCTGGGTGGCTCAGTGGTTTAGCGCTGCCTTTCGCCCAGGGCGTGATCCTGGAGTCCCAGGATCGAGTCCTGCGTCGGGCTCCCTGCATGGAGCCTGCTTTCTCCCTCTGCCTGTGTCTCTGCCTCTCTCAGCAATATGTCTATCATGAATAACTAAAAAATTAAAAAAAATCTTAAAAGATTTATTTACTCATGAGAGGTACATGGAGAGAGGCAGAGACACAGGCAGGGGGAGAAGCAGGCTCCCTGTGGGGACTGATGTGGGACTCGATCCCGGGACCCCAGGATCACGCCTTGAGCCGAAAGCAGACTTTAAATCAACTGAGCCACCCAGACACCTGGTTTGTCAGTTTTTAAACAATGATAGCTTTTATAATTTTAACTTTTAGCTATTTGATACTAGCATACAGAAATTCTCAAAAACTGAGTATTATCAAGAAATTCTTACTAAAACTCTTAAATTCATTCAAATTTTTTCTACATACATAATATACTATCTGTGAAACAGTATCATTTTCTATCCTTCACTTTTTCTTGCCTGCGATGTTAGTACCTCTGATACAGTGGCGAATGAAGTGGTGACAGAGGGATTCCTCATCTTCAGTCTCAAAGCTCCATGGTCTTGTAGTGCCTGACACCTCTATTTGCCACTAAAAAACAAATATTGGAGCAATTTTTATGGACTTTTCACTACTTTGGGCTGCAAGTGATGCTTATTATTACTGCTTTTTCCATTTCATTGGTCAGGACTAAGTGGTCATGCAGCTCTTCTAACTGCAGGGGTGCTGGCAGCTGGATTATGGGATTAGCAGGACTGATGGCAGGTACGGTGGGACCCACTCCAGGGAGCGTAGGAGGCCTCCCGAGAGGCGACCTCAGTGGAAATCTGAAGGATGAGGTATTCGTTTCCTAGGACTGCTGTAGTAAACCACCACAGACCGGGGGGCTTAACTGACCTTGATTTAGTCTCAGTCTATGGATGCTCGAAGTCCAAAATCAAGGCATCAGCAGGGTTGGCTCCTCTTGAGGACCCTGAAGGATCTGTCCAGGCCTCTCTCCTCGGTGTGTACACTGCCATCTTTCCTGTAGGTCTTTCCACAGGCTCTTCCCTCTATGCATGTTCGTATCTAAACTCCCCCACTTATAAAGGTACAAGGCATAGTGGACTAGGGCCCACTCTAGTGACCTTACTTTAACCTGACTACTGCTCTAAATAGCTTGCCCAGGTAGGGCACCCAATTTCTAAAAAGAGGTATGTCACAAAGTGGCCTGTAGGGAAGACCAAACAATTTTTTAAAAATAGATCTGAACCACTAGAACACTTGTATGTTTACTCAAAGATTCTACAGATTTTGGTCTTTCTTTAAACATGAAGAGGGATGCCAGGGTCCTGGGATCGAGTCCTTATCAGGCACCTACAGGGAGCCTGCTTCTCCCTCTTTGTCCTTGACTCTCAGAAATAAATGTTTAAAAAAATATATGGAAAAAATTATTTTGGCCTACACCGGTCTGGGATGTTGTCCCCAACTGGACTACTTCCACTATAGAACCATGGTATGGCTTTTGCACAATGTAATTTTGAATAAGATTATGTCACAATATGCCCATAGGAGGGAACTTATCTTCTTGCTCCTCTCCCAAGTCACTTAATGGTGGTTATTCTTCTAGCTTAGGTATATATTTACTCTATACTGCACACAAAAATTTACATTTATTCTAAGTCTTTTATTATATTTTTTAAAAAGATTTATTCATGAGAGACACAGAGAGAGAGAGGCAGAGATACAGGCAGAGGGAGAAGCAGGCTCCATGCAGGGAGCACGATGCAGGACTCGATCCCGGGGCTCCAGGATCATGTCCTGGGCTGAAGGCAGGCGCCAAACCACTGAGCCACACAGGGATCCCTAAATCTTGTATTCTAAATCATAAGCAGTTTTAGGAGTAACTATGATTGATGGATTCCTGCCAGCCTTCATTCTTTCCTGAGCCTCCAGCCCAGGGCGTGACCAAGTTGTCACTAGATAAGTCCCGCGTCAGGCTCCCTGCATGGAGCCTGCTTCCCCCTCTGCCTGAGTCTCTGCCTCACTCTCTCATGAATAAATTAAAAAGTCTTTTTAAAAAGAATGTCGGTGTTTTTGCACCAAAGAATTCTAAACCTCTCCCAAACAGCTTCCTGCAGCAAAGAATTCCTGAGATTTTCAACCAGCATATGGAATTCAGCAAGGTCAGGATGAGTGACAGTGGTAAAGGACTGTGGAATTGTTGTTGGGCCTAGAGTTACCGGAGGTGTTTTGTTTTTTTTTTTTTTAATTTTTATTTATGATAGTCACACAGAGAGAGAGAGAGAGAGAGAGAGGCAGAGACACAGGCAGAGGGAGAAGCAGGCTCCACGCACCGGGAGCCCGACGTGGGACTCGATCCCGGGTCTCCAGGATCGCGCCCTGGGCCAAAGGCAGGCGCCAAACCGCTGCGCCACCCAGGGATCCCCAGTGTTTTTGTTTTTTACCTGACTTGAGACTAGTCCAACCCAGGGAGGGTATCCCAAAGCAAACACACACACCAGGACTTCGTAAGTGTGAACTAGGTGCCAGGATTCCTCTGAAGCACTGTGTTGGGAGTTGTATTAATTCAAGAGGCAGAGATGATGTTGTCAGTTTGGCTAGATTTCCCTTTATTAAATCCATTCTCGGAATTCTCAGAGAAAACTCATCTAGTAATCCAAGCCTCCTGGCTAGTTTCAGATTTATTTACGGAGGGAATACTTGGGAGAAATTTCTCCCTTAGTGTAGAATCCTGGAGCTGAAGTACCAAATCCCAGGATGTTTAGCCCATCATCTTATAAATGATGGCTTGGGAAGGAAGGGGGAAGGAAAAGAAGAAATAAATCACGTACTGCCAGCTTAGGAACCTTTTCACCCAGCAACTAGCATAGCCCCAATAATAACACATCAGAAGAAAAAGTCTGTTATCTGTGGGAGCAAAACTGATCAGAACTGCACAAGGAGGAACTGGAACTGGAGCTCATATCAAAGACTGAGCAGCACCGGCTAAGCGATCTATGGCTTCCAGTTACGCTAGTCCTATGTGTGTAACTGTAAAGCCAATAATCTCAAATAGTCACAGATGGGTTGCTAAAACGAAAGGCAATTAGAGACTTTCCTGTTTTGAAAAGTCAACATCGGCCTACTATGTGGAGAGCTACAGACATGAATAAGGCTTTTATCAGCACGAATCCGGCTACTTCATTTTAAACAGTAATCGGGAGGCAGAAGTTATAGATTAGTGGTGGCTGAAGCCTCTTCATAATGTTATAGCAAATTCACAACTTGCTGTGCTCCTGTTTGAAATAAAGTGACCAATATCTACCACCAATGCTATTTTAAACAAACAAAATAAACTCAATAAATATCTTTTATTAAAGAAAAAAGGAGTATTGTTTGTTAAGCACCAAAACTGTATGTTGTTATTACATTGCATGTACAAGAGAAGGTGATTGCAATACTTGCTGTACAAGTACTTAACTCCGAAGTCATGAGTGTAAAAAACATGAAATACAAAGCAAAACAATAATTACAACGCAATAAAGTTGCACTAAAGAGCGAAAGGCAATAGTCAAAACAATTATTGGAGATTCCAGAGTATTGCTATAAATGCCTGCTTAGTTTTTTCTTTGTACTTTTAATACTTTAGAATATTAATGGAGCATATTTAAGTATTGTAAATTTGCAAGAGTTGGCATTTACAATACACTGTGCACACGTCCATTTAATGTACGGTGTTAAAGCCATCTTTAAAAGCCAAGCACGATGTGCTAGTGTTTTGCTTCTACCATTATAATATTGCACAAAGCTAGTAAATGGTGAATTGGTTTGCCATTTTAATTTTTCACTTAACCATAAAGGCTAAAAAAAAAAAAAAAAAAAGTCAGTTTCAGTGGCCCTAATGGGCTTTTAATCATGCAGAATGATCTGTAGCCTTCGATTTTTCATAAACTATGTATTATGGTTTCACACTTGGCAAGACATACAGTACAAGAAACTCAGCAAGACAGTGTGGATTCTTTCCTTCTTTCCGAGTCAAAGTAGTCAGAAGTCACTGTCTGGGTGGTATTGTCTATCCCTCTTGGTTCACAATTGAAGGGAAAATGCCATCTTGTGATCATGGATACTTCTTAAAACCAATGTAATTAGTACTGGGAAAAGCTAGAATAACTTGTTACACTCTTGGATAGTTAACCATAGAACATGCAGGTTTAAAAAAAAAAAAACACCAAAACATCCCTTGTTAAAAATTCAACTATAACCAACACCCATACACCCTCTGTGTATACATCTAAAAATCACTTTCCACGGTCTTTCCTCTCCACCCGTAACCCCCCCCACACTGAGCCACTTGAAGTTATAACTGACTTTTTATAAAAAGCAACAAAAAACTTTCCCCTCTCAAAACAAATGACTGCTTTGAGATTCAATGTGAAACAGCACTGATGAAATATTTGTCAACCTCAGAGGTATTTTCTGCATGTGCACCTTACAGTGGCATCATAAAAGTGGAGAAGGGGAGAAACATTTATAAATCTGAATTCAATCAATTAAATTCCTGAAATACCAAGCTGTACATTTATACTTGTGGGCAAAACATAACATTTTAGAATGAACACATTTTCAAAATAACCCAGTGGGAAAACATGGCGCACTCTCGCGCGCGCGCACGCGAGCATGCACACACACACAGTCCAGATCCCCACTCACCTTTAAAAAACCCTCTGTTTACATACATGATAGTTTAGGCAGCAATATAAACTCATTTTGTAGGAAAAACTTTTAAATTAGACTATTTATAGGATAAAAAATACCATTGCTTCAATTTACAAAGCAGTCAGGCAGAGATTCCTCATTATGTGCTTTAAAGCGCACTCTGCAGCAGAGTTCAGAAATAACTACTGAATTGTTCAGTAGCACTAAACAAATGCAACATGCTCCAACGGTAAGGTGCTTCCACTTTTTTAACTCTTCCATCTGAAATAAAGCTTGCGAGTCAATCCTCTAACACTAAGCATAGCTCTTCTTGGATGCTAAGAAATTGAAATAAAATCAATGCACACTTAACTTTATATTATTTAAATTCAGTGCAAGAATTACGTGAAACTTGTTAAGGTTTCTGCTCTCATCAACTGGCTGCATGTTAACAATGCATCTGCCAGGGTTTCTAAATGTTTTGCAGCTGTTCAAAGCGATCTTTTACAAATAACCTGGTAAGAATGTGTATGAAATTTGAATTCCCTGATAAGGCCTTTAAGAGACCCCTTAGTACTTTCTGGGTTGGTATCTCATATGTGTATATACTAATTATAAAAGTTTAAAAACAAAAAAATCCCAAACCTTGTATTTATTAAAAGAAAAAACTTTCCTCAGGCTAAAGACAAGTTTATACACAAACTCAATAAATGGAATTTAAAAATGGAATCTTAGGGAATGTAGAGAACTAAATAAATTGTGTTAATTGTTCACTGGTCCCATTCCAAGCAGACGGTGTTGCCCATTCAGTTTTGTTCCACTGACCCGAGTTTTAATTCTTAGTGGCTGCTACGGCCAAGGTATGCCTCAGAATTTAACAATATCTAATGGCAAAGCGGTCATGCTGTGTGTTACCAAAGATTGCTACACAGTTTAGCTTTGTAGAAACAAGGATTTTTGCCCCCTTGTTTTACAGAGTAAATCAGAGTGCTGAAAATCTGTTTCATGTAATGAGGAAAACACCACATTCCAACTGTAGAAAATACTACACCTGGTCATTTCTTATGGCTGCATCTAAATTAGTTTAAAAATATATAAGAAATCTTTCAGTTCCACAGTAAGAACTAGGGAATGATTGTTTTTATGCTGCTTCCGAACTCAGAACTTATAAAACACACATCAAGTAAGCAAGACAACTGCTCCTTTCAAAAATCCTCTTTAGCCAGGCATTTGGTCACACTGCTATGCCACAATACCACCCATATTTGAGATCATTAGGAATACCTTTTCTATTGGTTATATACACAGCATTCTGACTATAACTGGGAGAACTTTAAAATTGGCATTCAAGTGAGCAGTAGCATTAACCTTAAAATATCCTCAAGTTATCTAAAATATATTACAGTCGAGACTAGATTGGTAAATGGACTTCTAAAGTGATTCGGCACAAGCAAGCAGCTGTTTGTGGATTTTTATGACAGAAATGACACACTGAGATATATAACTATCAAATATTTTAAACCATATAAATAGTATGGGCAAGTTTGGAACTTGAAACATCATCTATAAATACCATCCTAACTAAATATATTAAAATTTAATATTGAGGGCAAAGATGCTCTTTTTTGGGGGCAAGGGGAGGAGGGGAATTCAATCATGCTTACATAATTGTTGGGTCCGGAAACTGTTTTAATTAACATGAGGGGGAAAAATTAACATAAGGATTCAACTGGTAATCTATCTCATCTTGGACAAGTGGACTGTAGTTATTTAAAATTTTAACACTGAGATTCCAAAAGGTGAATGATCTGCAGTTACTTGTAATTCTGTGGAAGTAGGAATCTGAATCTTAAGGATGGAAAGTAGGTATGTTGGAGAACGTTATTCAGCAGAGTGTAAGCATAGCTGGTTATTAAGGAGGTTTTGCAAGTGAGATAACCTTCATGGAGTACCACCGTGAGATGTACTCAGAGCTGTGGATGCACCCCCAAAAGGATTCACAGGGGTCTGTACCCTGTCTAGCATTTGCTGAACACTTACCAGGACATGATTCTGAAAGACAAATCACAGGACCCATTTATAATTGAGCCCAACTCTCGATGGAATCCCCACTCTAACATTAAATGGGGAGTAATTCTGACAACAGTTCTAGTGATTTTGCTGTTCATTTAATGTTAAGTTCTCCTGTGTTTTTCTAAGTATCAATGAATGGGAAAAAAATGATTCATAAGCATTCAAAGGCTTAATATTGATACATGATTTTTTTAAGGTTTGAAAATTTGCTTTAACATTTTTTTGCTAAATTATATTCAAACCAATCATTCTTTCAATTGAAAAGCACGCTTAAATGCCTTACTAATTCCACCTCCCCATTGTAGGATAAAGAGTCTCTATACAAGATATATATTTTAATTTTCCAAGATAACATGTGGGAATACAAGAAGAAAGCTAAAGTACTATGAAAAAAAACTGTGCAAAAAGCTCCTACTCTCCTCAATAAACAGAAAATTTTCTCCATAATTATTCTAAAGGAAATACATCTTAAAGTGACAAAGGTCTAAGCATTTTTTTCTCTCTTCCGGAAAACCAATTTATACATTGGAGCGCTGCTATTCTGGGACTGCTTTCTGGTGCTAGGCCAGAGAAACGCTTTCAGGAGAAAGTTCTCTTTGGTACACCAGTCCTTACCTAACTCCGTTCATACAGAGGCTAACGTCTATCTGATGCAGAATTACACTCTATAGAAGACGGTGGGCTGGGTCCAACATATCCACCCTTCATTCAGCCCACAACAGTCCTGCTGAGAATCCACAGTGGCTCCACTCACAAAAAAATGCATCCTTTGGGACTCCAATACAGCAAAGTCAGCACCTAGAACTACATACATAGGTTTTAAAAAGTCTACTGATAGTAACAAAGGCTCTCTCCCAAAATTCCATTCAAAACATTGTGAAGATAGTGAAATCCCAGCCAAGGAGGCTTTTCTGCCTACTTTCTGCATGTTTGTAAGGGCACACTTCACTGAGGAGCATAAAAAACTTAAATGGTGCATGTTAAACAGACTTAATATCTGCATCCCTATTACTGAATCCTCATTTTTGATTCTCAATAGGAAAGTCATGTTGAATTACACTAATCAAGCAATTGTTCAAACAAAGAGACTAAAAATAATTTGAAACATTATCAAGTTACAAAGTATTGCTTTTCATAAACAAAGCTGCACATGAAATCCAAACTATTATAAATTCACAATTATGAAGAGCTATTTAAAAGCATGGAAATTTTTACTTCAAAACCTTACAAAGTGTGAGAGTAGGTGGTCTTTTAAAAATATGCCATGTTAAATGTATCATGTTGTGGTAAACACAGTAAGTGTATCTCCGTGGTTATCTTTCTTTTCAGATGTTGAACATCTTTATGAAATTTCCTCTGGAGATGAGTAAGATGGAAATTTTCAGGGCATTTCCATCTGATTCTTTCCAATTCCTATCCTATAGCTATCATGATAAACTTTTTCAGAGTGCTGCATTATTTATAAAAGCTGATATGGAAGCAGCCCTGTGTTTTCAAGCAGAGGACTATTCAGTGCGTGGAAAGATGGATTTCAAAGCAGTCCCAATACAGCTCACAGTAGATCTCTGTCAGCCCACTGTCTTCCAACTCAGAACAACCCCTAGCTTTAGCGGCCACTACAAGGATGTACGTGGGTGGACAGGAGGGGAAGGTGCTTTAAAAAAACAGGCATCTCTGGAAGGCCTTTTCTTCATTGCATCAGGAGCATTGCACATCTAAAACTCATGTTAACCACCAACTACTGGAATGACTGGAAAAGCGTTAACTTGCCAATTGTGCTTCCATTTTTTCATACCACTGAGCCAACACACTTTTTGCATCTAATGGAATCCAGCTGGGAAATCACGTGTTTAAAATTTTGTTTTTCAAAAACAAATCCTTGATCTTCAACTGAAGGTATTTTTTTTTCTGTTGAGTCACCTGTTTATAAACAAAAAAAGTGTATTAAAAAATGTAGACTTATTGAAGATAGTGTGGTCTTTTAAAAATATGCCGTGTTAAATGTATCATGTTGTAAACGCATGTATATCCCCATACAACTTGCAATATCTGGATGAACACTGATTTTTCTTATAAATGTCCATTTGTAGAGATCATATATAGGAGACAAAAGATGCGTTTGTATTCTTAAAGCAATAAAAATGAAAACAAAGTAACTTGAATATGATTTAGATCACTTCAAGATTGTATGTTAGATTCACTTTTATTCCTTTTACTCAAATTTTATGTCAAAACTATTCAGTAAAAATGACCAAATACAACTGAACATATCAGCCTCATAAAATGCCAGTAGATTAGAATTAAATATTTTAAAAATTCACCAGAAAGTGAGTTTTTGTTATACTGACGTTTAGAGGACAGGATTAGTACTAGTCTTTAAATGATGCTTTAGCAAAGTTTCAGAGTAGTTGTACTTGAGATCTATGGGCGTACACATGTCACAGGAGCATTTATATGAAAGAGCTACTAATCAGATAAAAAAGGACATAGACATAAACTGAGTCCTAACTTATTATAGTTCTGAATTAACTAATACTGTAACTACATGTGGCTTTGGGGCACCTGAAACATGGCTGCTGTGAATGAGAAAATGAATTTTTAATTTGATTTAAATTAAAATCTGAAGCAGAAATATTAAAATATTTCTCTATTGGATGCAATTTTATTGTTTTGGTAGGACATTTTTTTTTAAATTTTTATTTATTTATGATAGAGAGAGAGAGAGAGAGGCAGAGACACAGGCAGAGGGAGAAGCAGGCTCCATGCACCGGGAGCCCGACGTGGGATTCGATCCCGGGTCTTCAGGATCGCGCTCTGGGCCAAAGGCAGGCGCCAAACCGCTACGCCACCCAGGGATCCCTGGTAGGACATTTCAACTTTAACCACTGAATGATTAGCATAGAAATTGAAATGTGCTACAAGTATAAAATACACACTAAATTTTGAGGACTACATTTAAAAAAATGTAAACTACATCATGAATTTTTTATATTGATAGCATGTTGAAATATACTATTTGGGATATACCATATAAAATATTATTGAGATCAATTTCAAAAAAATTTATTTTTTAAGGTAACTATGGTAACTTTACATCTGTGGCTCATATTTTTTTTTTTTTAAGATTTAAAAACAGCGCACAGCAGGGGGAGCAGCAGGGAGAGGGAGAAGCAGGCATCCTGCTGAGCAGGGAGCCCAACTGGGGTTTCATCCCAGGACCCTGGGAACGTGACGTGAGCCAAAGGCAGATGCTTAAGTGACCGAGCAAGCCACGCATGCCTCGTATTTCTATCAGTGCCATCATAGTTACTTCATGACTTAAAAGGAGGAACTTGCAGAAAACCAATTGGAAACTCCATATGAAGCCTCTATAATGATATGTATTCCCTTACATTTAGAAAGTTCCTTCAAGGACACGCTTACCTACGACTAGTTCTTAAAAGAGTTTTAAAGGAAGACACAGCAGAACAGGAGATAATGACTATTTCATGAAGTTTTGAGAAACTACTTGTTTTTCTGAAGAGCTAATTAATGATTTCAGATCTGTAGGAAGCTGATCTGTAACAGGAAATACAAATTATAGTGTTTTTAGCCATCTGTAGAGAAGATCTGGAAGTTCAGTCTTTAAAAACTATTTCCCAAGACCACACACGAGGTAGGAGGAATAGTTCCTTTATCACTGCCTGCTCAGACGGGCCTACGGTTTGCTTCTGGTACGGGATAGGTTGTTTTTTTTTTTTTTATAAATAACCGACTTTGCAGGTATCTGAACTCCTGTGTTGCTGGGGAGTATTTCATTGTTTCTCTCATTATAATACATATACCAGCCGTAAATAATCAGCCAAAACCAGGAAATTTTGGGTATTCATGGTGGACATACTCTTAACATTGGCTCTAAGGCTAAAGTAGTAGCCTAAAGCTAAAAATAACTACCACGCATGGGCATGTCGGAAATGCTGCTGCTGTGCCTATGTGTTAGGATCTGGCAGGACTGGTGAAAACCGAGAAGAGGGGAACTGGCCTGAGCTCCTGCCACCGGGGAACGTACCCCACCTGCGCTACTGCCAGCAGCTGTGACCAAAAAACAGAAACACTCATTTATTATGTGAAGGCCCCACTCTGAGGTTAGCCAGTTAGTGCCTAAGACGGTAGGTCCCAGCAGAGGCAGACACTGGGATGGGTAGGACACACCGCGAAGTGGGGAGAGAATCTACACATCTCCAGTGTGGGAAGGCTTCCTGGTCAGACATCCTCTATCTCTGGACTGCTCATACACTGAGCAGATGCAATACTGTATCTCCATGCTTCTGCAAAGCACGTGTATAGCACAAATGGTTTGGAATTACTTGGCAATTCAAAAACACTGGTTCCGGGGATCCCTGGGTGGCGCAGCGGTTTAGTGCCCGCCTTTGGCCCAGGGTGCGATCCTGGAGTCCCGGGATCGAGTCCCGCATCGGGCTCCCGGAAATGGAGCCTGCTTCTCCCTCTGCCTGTGTCTCTGCCTCTCTTTTTCTCTATGTCTATCATGAATAAATAAATAAAATATTTAAAAACAAACAAACAAACAAAAAAACCAAAACACTGGTTCCTACAAAATGGTAATTTTGTATAAATTCTCCTCTTCTATAAAGAGGAGAAAAGGCATGCCAGTGGCCTAATTGCCGTGGTAGCATTGGTAGTCACACGTGGTAGCGTGTGACTGAATGCTGCCTGGAACGCACTAACAAAGGTCATCTATACCCACTCATCGAGGGGAATGGGACGTTTTCAACCCCCCCCCCTTTTTTTAAAGCTACTGATTAGTGTAGAGGCTGATGGGCAGAGGAGGGATGGGGGTGCACAGCAGAAGAACATCTACTTTTTCCTGATGGATCCATCCACAAATAAGCAGGTAAAATTGCTTTTGATAGTATCTGATATATCTCGCACTCTTTCAAATGTAATTAATATAAAGAATTCCTGACACAGTTTACCTTTTTTGTATTAAGTGTTCAAAATCAGAGGTATGCCTGCATAGACATCAGATCTACTCAGAATCCACATGAGTGAAAGCCAAGAATCTGCATTTTTAATAAGCTCCCCAGGTAATTCTTATAACCAAGCATGTTTAAGAATCACTTTGCTGACCAATAAATTTATTATTCCTTCACCTACTTTCCTTCCAGGGCTAGGAGTCTTCCCTCCACTTTTGGTGAATGTTGTAAAGACCACAGAAATATAGTCCATTGAGAGAGCAATCAAGATACTTAATAGGACATGTGCATATTTGCATTGCAGTTTGCACAACTTATAATATTTCAGCTATCACTACTGTCAGTTCTCTATGTACTATTTATAGCATATGTTACCTTTACTGACTGTATTTAGCATAATTTGTGCCACAGGACTACATAATTATCTTACTAAGTGTGGCTCAGTAACAACTCTATTACTTTAGGAGAATGCCAAATGTATATATAACCAGAACCTACAGGGGTACTCAATAAGAAACACTTATTACATATTTATTATATTAGCTGCAACTTTATCTGTAACATGCAACAATTATGACAAGCCTTAAAATGATAGACCTTCATTTTAAAGGCTTGGAAAGCTAGATAATCAGGCAATGCAATAATTTTTATAAACTGATCTCAGAAAATTCCTTTGTAGGAAGCTAAGAAGACATCCAAATTCAATATACCTAACAGGTTGTACCTGAAATGCTTCACTCAAAAAAGGCCTTTTCTATTTTTAAAGCAAGAAATAAGACTGCCACTTCACTGGAATGAAACTATCCTCTTTATTCGGGCTATATCTATACTGTAGAAATTATTAATGAGCAGGATATAAACAGCATTTACATACCAGGTATCTTCTTGAAAAGTGCTTTACTGTTAAGTTTCAAGAAACTACACAAAACCTAAAGTTTACAAATCCATGATCAATTCTATAAGTGAGCTGTATAATAAATAAACCCAACCATAAAATTTAACAGATTTCATCATCTACTATGAAACCTATATTACCAAATGCTACTAAAGAAAGTAGGGATGATTTACTTGTTAGTTTTCCCAATCTGTGCAAGGCAAAGCCTCCTCTTCATCCTCCGACTCAGGGGACGCCTCTTTGATTCTTCTAAGAGCCTCATGGATGCTCCGTGTTAGAGGGTCTGTGTCAGGCAGAAGCGTGAAGGATTCTCTCAGAACTTCCTTCTGTACCTTCTTCAATTTTACCCCTTTCCTGATTTGTGCCAAGATATTATTACTATCATCCTCGTCAGGAAAAGGAGGCAGAGTTCGCTGTTCAACTTTTTTCAGGTGAAAACTACCACGCTTCAAGGAAGCTAGCACCTCATCCATGGGTGAACTCACTTTACAAACGAGAAAGAACAATTATAGTTAAGATCACGATGAGAGTTGAACGGGCAACCTCTAAGTCTTTAGGACTGTGCTAGCCAAGGACACTAAAAACAAAATGGACCATAAAGTGTGGACTGAAGGTTTTCCCAGGAACACATGGGATCCCAGTTATGCTCTTTGAGAAAGCAAAGCCCCAACAGCCACACTTCAATTCCAAGTTATTATTTCTATTATTTTCCATGTGAGAGAAGCAAGCTAGAAGGTGGTCTTTGGGAATATCATGGGTGAGACAACCAAAGGATTTCCATAATGCACCAACTCAATCTAAATTCAGACACTGAGTTATAAATGTACTTTTAAAGAACTAAGTTTTGATTCACTGTGTTAATTTTTTAAGTTTTTTTTTTTTTTTTTTTTAATTATTAAGTAAACTGCTCTCTATATGGGGCTTGAACTCAGGACACCAAGGTCAAGAGTTGCATGCTCTAATAACTGAGCCAGCCAGGTACCTGCACTATGGTGCTATTGATTTTTCCACTTAGTTATTTTACATACAAAATTCTACTCCAGTTACAAGATAGAATTTACAGAATGCTTACAGAATGGTTTTACAGAATGGTTTCTTAGAATTTAATATCTAAATCATTTTTATGTAATGTTCTCCCAATGAAAGGTACAGACCAGGATTCCTTTTTCTTTTCAAAAACAGCTTTCTAAAGGCAAATCTGACATGCAATAAGTTATGTTCCTCTTCCATACTTCCTTGCTTTTTTATACAGAGCATACCAAAGCCCTCAATAAACACGTGACCAGATGTTAAATGGTCCTATCAGTGTGATCCTAGTGTGATAGTCTTTCTTGCCCAGCTGTTTTTTTCTGATGTGAAAACCTTTCCTGTATCTCCTAGGTTTAAAATCAGATTTTCCCCTTAACACAGAAAGAGCCACTTACTATGTATTACCAGATACACCAAGCATCACTTCAAAATATATAGTTTTTAAAATATCCCTAAGAGCTCAGGGTGATACACGTCTGTGTATATACACATTTGCTGATGTGGGTTGGTAGGATTTCCACCAAGGTGTGACCCTGAAAACTGTTTGCTATCAAATAATGTCCAAAAATAAAATAACGTTTTAAGTTTTGTAGGGTCCTATGAAATATAAGTCCTTTGATTATGCCTCACTTTATTCAACAGATGAATACGAAAATGTCTGTTCAACTTACCCCTTCTCCTCTGCAAACCTTCTGCAGTCTTTTTGAGCTTCTTCCTGGCACTGACTAGCTGGCTGCTGTCAAAGAGATGTGCTGAGGGGGCACTCGCAGACTTCGGGATCCTCTTCTCATTCCCCTCTGTCCTAGGCAGACCCTTCTCCAGTGTCTCTAGGGAGTTGTCCTTAGCAACAGGCAAAGGTGGTGGTGGGGGAGGTGGTGGTGGTGGTGGTGGTGGTGGAGGTGGTGTTGGAGGAAGAGGTGGGGGAAGTGGAGCTATGGTAACAGAACCTGGTTCGAGGTCAATATTATTTAAAAGTGGAAGAGAAACAGTGGGTGGCAGTTCAGAGGTAACACCGCTGAGAGGTAATGAAGTGGGTTCAAGTTGTGCTAATGAAGTATCTTCAAGTTGTGCGAGGCTTTGGGCTTCTGTTTTCTGTGATGACTCAAACTTGCCTCTTCCTTCCTCCACCTTTTCACTTTTATCTTCTACCTGTAGCGCCCCTGGCAGAGAGTCACACTGCTCCTCACAGGGCACAGGACTGGCTGTGCTTCTTCTTCTTGCATGAGCCAGTCGCAATCTGGTTGATTTAAGTATGACTTGGCCAGGGTATCTCTAAAAAAATCAGAAGGTATTATAACTGGTCAGATCACATTAAAATATTTTATGAGCAAACATTTTTCAAACAAGCATAACTGGGATCCCACGTGTTCCTGGGAAACCTTCAGTCCACATTTTATGATCCATTCTGTTTTTAGTGTCCTTGGCTAGCACAGTCCTAAAGTCTCACAATAAGGTATTATAACTGGTCAGATTACATTAAAACATTTTTATGAACATTTTATTTCCTCCTTTAGATGAAAGATGGTATTCTAAAGCTTTTGTGATTTTTGGAGAAGGTTCTTTAATAAAGTTATACAGATGACTAGAATACCAAAGCATAATACCTTTTGACAATTATCACTGAACTCTTTTGCTTATTAAATTCTGTCTCCTTTTATCCACTTAAGAAACCAACTGTTCAAAATTACCATGGGATTTAAAGAAGATTAAAGATCTTTAAATAACTTTAAATTCATTTAAAGAACTTTAATGACTGACATTATTATTTTTTTAAGACTTTATGTATTCGACAGATTGAACCAGAGCGCACAACCAGGGGGAATGGCAGAGGGAAAAACAGACTCCCCACTGAGCAGGGAGTCTACCGTGGGGCTCAATCCCTGGACCTCAGGATCATGACCTGAACCGGAGGCAGATGCTTAACCAAATGAGCCACCGAGGTGCCCCTGAAATTATTAATTTAAATGAAAAATAATAGCAATGTAAAATATGAAACATAAATGCTTTTGGTATACAGAAAGCTATGAAACTGTTAGTTTCTTACATGCATTTTCAAATACTTACAAATAAAAAAATTAAAAATTAATGTTCTTTTTAAAAACCATCTTGTGGCATTTAAAAAACTCTTGAGGGGATCCCTGGGTGGCTCGGCGGTTTGGCGCCTGCCTTCGGCCCAGGGCGCGATCGGGGAGTCCCGGGATCGAGTCCCGTGTCGGGCTCCCAGTATGGAGCCTGCTTCTCCCCCCCCCCCCCGTGTCTCTGCCTCTCTCTCTCTCTGTGTCTACCATAAATGAATGAATGAATGAATGAATGAATGAATGAATCTTTAAAAATAAAAAATAAAATACTCTTGAAACAATATGTACGTTTTTATGATGGAGAGGGAAGATTTTTTTTGAGTAATGATATACAGAACTCTCCATCTGTCTTTTACTATAGTAAAACCTAGCATTAATCCAGGGCCATGGGTTAGCCTGGCAAGAGAACTGCCAGACCCTTTCTCATATAAGTTGATCCACTTTAATTATGCCAGGGTCACTGCCGTAGACTGTTACTATAGGTTATTATATGTGGTATTAATAACAAGGTGATACCTGAAATGGATAGTCAATTGTGAATTTTATAAAACTCAAGAAGAATCCAGGCTTGCCAGAAGCCCCGACCATTACTTTTATGCTACTGAAGTGGTAGACCAATAGCATGAAAATATTAATGCTGTACACAAGTGGATTATAGGTATGAGATGCCTGCATGATGCAGTCAATTAAACGACTAACTCTTGGTTTCGGCTCAGGTCGTGATCTTAGGGTTGTGAAACTGAGCCCAGAGTCAGACTCCATGCTCAGTGCACAGAGTCGGCTTAAGATTCTCTCTCTCCGGGGATCCCTGGGTAGCTCAGCAGTTTAGCGCCTGGAGTCCCGGGATCAAGTCCCATGTCGGGCTCCTGGGATGGAGCCTACTTCTCCCTCTGCCTGAGTCTCTGACTCTTTCTCTATGTCTATCATGAATAAATAAATAAAATCTAAAAAAAAAAAAAAAAAAAAGATTCTCTCTCCCTCTTCTGCTCCTGCCCCCACTCTTTCTCCCAATAAATGATAAATCTTTAAAAAACAAAAACAAAAAAATAAGAAAATAAATTTAAAAAATAAAAATAAAAAACAAAAACAGAAACAAGAAATCCACAAGTGGAAGAAAGGTAGCCTTTTAATCAAACATTAAAACAAAAGGCAAATTATTTTAAGATTTTATTTGTGTGTGTGTGTGTAACAAAGAGAGAGAGAGAGAGAGGAGGAGGAGGAGGAGAGATTCTAGTGTAGACTTCCAAGAGCAGAGCCAGACGCAGGGCCCAATCTTAACCCTGAGATAACATGAGACAAAATCAAGAGTCAGACGCTTAACCGATTGAGTCACCCAGGTACCCCTAAAATAATTTTCTTTTTGGTTTTATTTAAATTCAATTTCATTAACAAATAGTGTATTATTATTTTGGGGGTGCAACTGTGTTTCATCAGTTGCATATAACTCACAATGCTTATTATAACATCAAGTGCCCTACTTATTGCCCATTAACCCATTCCCAAGAATTATATTTTCTAAATAATAGAGGAAAAAACAAAGTTTTTCTTAAAATCTTACAATAGGAGTGTATATGTAGCTATTTAAAAAGCAATGAAAAACAATAAATTGATCATACTTTTATATTACCTGTTTAAAATTTCGAAGTCTATCCAGTGTTCTTTGTCTCTCCTGGCTAACCCAAGCACTTTTTCTTTCTTCTTCATCATGTAATTTTTCTCTCTTCTGGTAAAAAATTAATAGTAATTCCATTATGATGTGTCCCGTTCATTTTTCTTAATTGGGGAAAAAAGTTCCCCCAATAAGTAAAATGGGTAACTCCAAAGAATGATTCACTTTGCTTAACAAAGTGTTTTAATGGCATGAAATTGATTTCTATTAAAAACTGGTATAGTTTTAAAATTCACAATGATAGGAGAAAAACAATACTGTTTCGTTTTTTGCATTTACCTACAATTAAAGATGTTTATTCTGACAAGTAAAATCAAATATCACTGAACTAAAAATGTTTCATCTGGGTTTCTGGCTTAACCAATTTAAGTATAAAATACTTATAGCTGCTATATTTTACTAAATAGAAAAGTTGAACATAAAAATAAAATCAGCAACAACCTGGCCTGGATTCAGATACTGCACATTAGTTCAACCAATACAATCAGCAGTTGGGGGCGGAGGAGCATTTGAAATAAACCAGAGAAAGACAAATATCATATGATTTCACTCAAAAGTGCAATTTAAGAAACAAATGGGGAAAGGAAAAGACAGAACGGAAGAAAGAGTAACCAAGAAACAGATTAACTTATAACAGAGAACAAACAGATGGTTGCCAGAGGGGAGGTGAGTGGGGGGAATGGGTGAAAGAGGTGATGTAGATGAAGAGTATACTTATCATGAAATGCACTGAGTAACGTAAAAGAATTGTTGAATGATTAGATTGTACACCTGAAACAAACAGGACAGTGTACAGTAACTATACTGGACTTCCCTGTGCTGGTGAGTCACCTAAACGACATCTAATTAAATCTCATTTTGCAGAACAAGCATTAAATGAAAAGGCTTTCTAGCTTCATAAATAGTTAATGCCTTATTTCCTGCTTTGTTTTAAAAACCTGGAGATATCTCCTACAAGATCAGTTAATTTCGTGTGAAGAGGACAGTGGTCTCCGGTGTCATTAACTTGTCTCTCTTCCATTTGTCCTTTTCAAATTCAATCTTCCATTATTCTCTTATTCTATTACCTCTCTTCTTTCCCACCAGCTTTTCTCTGGACAATTTCTAGTGAGAGTTACTGCTTCATTTGTCTCGGATGATTATGTTGAAATCTAACGGATAACTTGAATCTTCATGCTGAAAGTGAACATCGAGTTTCAGGAAACCCTGATGCACAATGATCACCTGGTAAAGTTACTAGACTTCCACAATAAACAAAAGACTCTGTAAGTATACAGGTTTTAAATGCAAGTCTCATGGAGAATGGGTGGAGGGAAGGGAGACCTCAGGCCTCTACAATGCAACATTCAATGCTACAAGAAAGAACAATGTGTCCAAAATTTTGATGGAGAGAAAATTTAATTTATGACCTAGACAGATGATCTCTTGCTTAGGAAAGGGACAAGCATCCCCAAACATGCCACAACACAGAATAGATAGTAACCATGAAACTTTCCTGAAATAGTACCTCAGTGAAATCTAACTCTAAGAGGAATCAAACTCAGGAACAGAAATTGTGATAATCTATTCTGGTTTTGATTTTCTTTGTAACTTTTTCCTGTATTCATTTAATCTTTTATAGTGATCATTTATGTCTTTTTACAAACATAAGGATTTTTTAAATGTATGAGAATGGTTGAGAAGCAGTTTTGCAAACCACTAATTAAAATTGCTTATAATAGAAGAATTTTCAAATACACAGTAAAGGAGTTTAGAATATGCTTTTAAAAATCTGGTACGTGATCAAAATTTTTACACTTATCAAGATACTCTATATTTCAGGAAAAAAACTGCCTTGCTTATTTAGGTAACAGGACAAAATCAGAAAATACTAAGTAAAGCACAAGAAAACTTTACAAAAAATAACATGCTAAAATACCATCTAAGAGAGTAATATGGTAGAGGAGAAGCAGCTGGAAAAAGAAATTCCATTCTCATATCAAACACTAATTACCTGTCAGCCAGACCCTATATTAAACCCTAGGAAAGCAGGGATGTGTATGTGGTAGTGAGAAGAGTAGGCATGTTCAACAGAGCTGGCGAGTTAGCTGTCAAGCACCAAGGAAGAAACTGACCCTGTTAGAGGTGGAGGTGCTGAAAAGGAGGAAAACTCCTAGAAGAGAGCACAGGCAGTAATCTCTTGGACTTTTCTATACAGGTCTCCTTAGGCAGAGGAAACAAAACCAAAACCAAATTTTATATTGGACTACCCCAATATAAAATAACTTCAGCACAGTGAAGGAAACTATTAACACAACAAAAAGGTGAACTGCTAAATGGAAGATACCTGCAAATAATATGTCCAGTAAGAAGTTAATATCCAAAAAATAAAGAACTTATACAACTCTACACCCCCAAAATAAATAAATAGATAGATAGATAGATAGATAGATAGATAGATAGATAGATAAATAAGAACTATCTGCTTTAAAAATCGGCAGAGGATTTTTCCAAAGAAGATATGCAATTGGCTAACACACACAAGAAAAAATGCTCAACATCACTCATCATTGGGGAAATGCAAAGCAAAACCTCAATGACATATCACCTTACACCTGTTAGAATGCCTAGAATTTAAAAAGACAAGAAATAACAAGTGTTGGTGAGGATGTGAACAAAAGGAACTCTTGTGCACTGTTGGTGGGAATGTAAATTCTGCAGCCACTGTGGACAACATATGGAGGTTCCTCAAAAAACTAAAACTAGAAATACCCAATGATCCAGTAATTTCACTTTTGGACATTTACCCAAAGAATATGAAAACACTAATTTGAAAAGATATATGCATCCCTATGTTTGTTGCGGCATTCATTATTCACAAGAGTCAACATATGTAAGCAACCTAAGTGTCCGTTGAAAGAGGAGTGGATAAAGATGGATATGTACAATGGAGTATTATTACTCAGCCCAAAAAAAAGAATGAGATCTTGCCATCTGTAACAACATGAATATATAGCTAGGAGGTATTAGCTAAGTGAAGTAAGTCCAACAAATACTACATGATTCACTTACATGTGGAACTTAAAACAAAATGAACAAACCAAAAAAAGCAGAAAACAGACCCGTCAGTACAAAGAACAAACTTGTGGTTTCTAGAGCAAAGGGAGGTGGGCAGGTGGGAAAAAGGGGGTGAAGGGCAATGGAAGATATAGGCTTCCAGTTCTGTAATGAATAACTCACGGGGATAAAAGGTACAGCACAGGGAATAGTCAGTGGTGCTGTGATAGTGCTGTGTGGTGACAGATGCCAACTACATTTGTGATGAGTATAGCATAATATATAGAACTGTCAGAACACTATGTTGTACAACTGAAACTAATGTAACGTCAGCTACACTTCAATTTTAAAAAATCTTCAGTTAGAAAAAAAAAAAACTATTATGAACACCAGTGTAGCTAAGGGACTACATCTTAACTATAAGGAATTATGTGATACCACAGATGTTAGCAATGGCAATCATACTGCAATAGGAATGTATCAAAACAGTACCCTGCATCTTAAATTGACACAATGTTATATGTAAAATATCTCAATTTTTGAAAACTGTCAAAAACAGTTTTTAGAAAACCATTTTAAGTAAAATAGTCTTAAAAGTCCTGATCAGTTTCCATACACTACAGCTTGTTTAAGTCTTCTGTTTGTACTTTCTTGAAGTGAAACCCTTCAGTTATTAGTATGATTACATAAAACAAGAATGCACTTTTTTAATGAGGGAAAAAATGACTTGTTTCCCCACCACCATTCCTTCTCTTACTCAATTTGTCTCTCAGCTCTAAAAGGGGGGAGAGGGGGGCTTTACATTTTCTTTATTCTGTTTTAGAGAGTTTCTGACAAATATTAAAATAGACTTCCTTAGTCTTCGTTAAATATTTAATTTGCAAGGATTTCCAGAAGAAATTTTTCAGACAATAATGTTAACATATAGGAATGTGCATTTTAAACCCCCCCAAGAGATTTTAATAAAGGTGGTTCAAAGCTAACTTTAAAAAACAACAATTTAATGTAGGCCAAATATGCCTTTTCCTACAGTTAGGCATATTAAAGATGAGATGGTTAATGGGCTCATTCTTCCACACTTAGCATTTCCAAAGCTGGTATTAGGCAGAATTATAAGGCAGATGACAGGGCAGCCCCGGTGCCGTAGCGGTTTAGCGCCGCCTGCAGCCCAGGGCAAGATCCTGGAGTCCAGGGATCGAGTCCCACGTCAGGCTCTCTGCATGGAGCCTGCTTCTCCCTCTGCCTGTGTCTCTGCCTGCCTCTCTCTCTCTCTCTCTCTCTCTCTCTCTCTCTCTCTCCCCCCATCCATCTCTATGAATAAATAAATAAAATCTTAAAAAAAGATTAAAAAAATATATAAGGCAGATGACATTTATCTTTGAGATCCCCTCAAATGTCAATTTCTTGATTTTTTTTTTTTTTTTTTTTTTTTTTTTTTTTTTTTTACTCTTCTTTGCCTTAAAAAAACTCCTGGAGAAAAGGATTTGATACTCATTCTAACAAAATAATTAGCTACTACATCTACCAAAGTAGTAGTATTTCATCAGAAGCCAACATCTTCCTAAAGCAAGTAACAACTAAGCATGGAATCTCAACAATCTGACAGCACAGGTACAGATGGTGATAGGGGGCATTCCTATTACTCTGGTAGGCTGGCCCATTATCCTTTACAAGGTAACTTATGATCTATGAAAAGGACATTAAAAAATAAAAGTACAGGGCACCTGGGTGGCTCAGTGGTTGAGCATCTGCCTTTGGCTCAGGTTGTGATCCCAGGATCCTGGGTTTGAGCTCCGCATCAGGATCCCCACAGGGAGCCTGCTTCTCCCTCTGCCTATAGTCTCTATCTCTCTCTGTGTCTCTCATGAATAAATAAATAAAATATTTTTAAACATAAAAAATAAAAGTACAAGAAATAATTTTGTTATTTATAGTTTCTTGGAGAATGATGAATCTTACAGTTTTATGGGTAGTTTGGCTACTTTTATGTGTTTAAAATCAAGAGTAAGGAATGACTTACACATATGCCAAAAAGAGCTTACAGGATTAATACATATTAAAGCCATTTAGCCTTTAGGGTGATACTAAAGCATATATAGTGATATTGTCATGTCAATATTTCTATTCAATGAAATCAAAATTAATGGTTGAGTAATCTAAGATACGTGTGTCTGAAAAGACTACTATCAGGATAATATACTGCAGACATAATGAGGTACAGCAATGCTGGGAGTAGAAGAAAGCTAATACAATTTTTTAAAAAATGAACTAATGATCTCAGTACATCACATATAGAGAAGAACCTGCTCAATTTGATAAGGAATATCTACCGAAAAAACCTATTGCTAAGCATGGTAGTTAACAGTGAGACACTAGAAGCGTTCTTGTTAAGATCAGGAAAAGACAAAGATGTCCCCTTTCTCACCATTTCTTTTCAGCACCGTATTGGAAGTCCTATATAATGGAACAAGAAGAGTAAATAAAAGATACATAGATTGACTTCATTCACAGATGACAAGACTGTTCATGTAGAAAACCTAAAAGAACCAACAGAAAAACAAAAACTCCTGGAACTAGTAAGTGATTACAGCTCAGTTAGAGTAAAAGGTTGACATGTAAAAGTCAACTGCCTTTAATATAAGAGCAATGAACATCTCAAGTTTAATATTAAAAACTATTTATGTGGGATCCCTGGGTGGCGCAGCGGTTTGGCGCCTGCCTTTGGCCCAGGGCGCGATCCTGGAGACCCGGGATCGAATCCCACATCGGGCTCCCGGTGCATGGAGCCTGCTTCTCCCTCTGCCTGTGTCTCTGCACCTCTCTCTCTCTCTCTCTCTCTCTCTCTCTGTGACTATCATAAATAAATAAAAATTAAAAAAAAATAAATAAAAACTATTTATGTTACCACCAAAAAAGGAAAGAGGCACAAATCTACTAATTTAGATATAAATCTTAGGTATACATATAAATATATATAGCATCTATATGAGGCAAACTATAAAACTTACAGAAGAAATCAAAGAAGATCTAAATAAATGGAGAGCTATTCCTTGGTTAGATAGGAAGACTCAATAGTGTTAAAGTATAATTATTTCCAAAATTAACCCAAAGATGTGATGTAATCTTAGTCAAAATCTCAGTTGCTTTTTTTTTAAAGATTTTATTTACTTATTTATAAGAGACACACACACACATACACACACACACACACACACACAGAGAGAGAGAGAGAGAGAGAGAGAGAGAGAGAGAGACAGACAGACAGACAGACAGGGGGGAAGCAGGCTCCACGCAGGGAGCCTGATGTGGGACTTGATCCCAGGTCTCCAGGATCACACCCTGGGCCGAAGGCGGGTGCTAAAACTGCTGATTGATTTTTGATTACTGACTAGCTTTGGAGAGGCAAAAGATCTAGTCAATATAAAAGAACACAGAGCACAAAACAGACCCAAACATATTTAATCAACTGATCTTTAACCCAAGAGGAAAGGCAATCCAATGGAGAAATGAAAGTTTTTTTTTGTTTTGTTTTTTTAAAGATATGGTGTTGGAACAACTAGACGTTCACATTTAAGGCTTGTGGCTTATAACCTTCACATACATTAACTCAAAACAGATCAAACACTTAAATGTAAACACTTAAATGTAAAATGCAACTTAAAGCTCTCACAACATAGGAGATATATAGATGACCTTACATTTGAGGAGGACTTTTAAGATATAATACCAGAAGTATAACCCATGAAGAAAGAATTGCTAATCTGGACTTCATTAACATAGAATTTTAAATTAAAATAAAATTCTCTTCTGCAAGAGATTCTGTCAAGAGAATGAAGACAAGCCACACACTGGGAGAAAATATTTGCAAAAACCCTATGTGATAAAGGCTTGTTAACCAGAACAGATTTAAAAAATTCAATTAAAAGATCAGCAAAAGATATGGACATAACCTTAGTAAAGAAGACAGAGATGACAAAAAAAAGCATTATAAACAGAGGCTCATTATCATATAACATTAGGGAACTGCAAACTAAGCAATCAATTACCACCACATGCCTAATTACAATGGCTAAAATTAAAAACAAAAACACTGACAATACCAAATGCTGGTAAAAATGTGGAGCAACAGGAACTCTCATTCACTGCTGGTAACACAAAATGGTATAGCCACTCTGAAAGACAGTTTCAGTTTCCTACAAAATCAAATCAACTCTCACCTCATGATCCAACAATAGTGCTCCTTGATATAATTTATCCAGAACATGAAAACTTAAGTACACGCAAAAACCTTTATGAACGTTTATAGCAACTTTATTAATAATGGCCAAACGTTGGGAGTAACCAACCTATCTCTGTAGGTGAATCAATAAACTGCAGCATACCAAGATGATGGAATATTATCCGGCACTAAAAAAGAAATGAACTATCAAGCCATGAACGTGCATGGAGAAAGAAAAACAAAATGCATGGAGGAATTTTAAATGCATATTAGTAAGTTATGCCAATCTGAAAAGACTACATAAATTCCAATTGAACATTTTAGAAAAGGCAAAACTGTAGAAACAGTAAAAAGATAGTGGTTGCCAGAGGATTGAAGAGGGGAGCGGGGATCAATAGGTAGAACACAGGACATTTTGAGGATGGTGAAAATATTCTGTGTGACATTATAATGGTGGATTCATATCACTATACATTTGCAAAACCAATAGAATATACACTACCAAGAATGAGCTGCAATGTCAACTATGGACTTTGAGTGATAATGATGTATCAGTGCTGAGTCACTGACTGTAACAAAGGTAGCACTCTTTGGTTAGCAGACAGTGTGCATGTGTGGAGGTTTATAGGAACTGTCTATACCATCTACTCAATTTGTGTAAAACTGTTCTAAGTAATGTATATATATGTATGGATATATATTGAACTACATAAGTTCACATATACACATATATGGAATAAATGCTAACATCTAGTTACTCACATTTTCTTATTCTCTATCAATCTTATTTACTTTGAGACATCTAAAAATCAAAGTTTTCTTCTAAGTCTTTAGAGTCCAAACTTACTAGTTGTACTGTGTGATGGGTTCTATACTCATCTTCACTCCGAAGGCGCTGTTGGAACTTTTCATTGTGTTTTGCAATACAAATTTCCTATAAATACATAAAACGTGTTTTAATAGAGTGAAACCTGAAAGACTCAAAACATCACACCAGAATTTATCTTATTGGGTTTAATTTTAATCTTAACATATATCTACATAGCAAAACATCAAGTAAGCCACCTCTGGCTTCTCATCTAGAGTACTAAAGCAGCATAAAACAAATCATTAGGATCTTTTTTTAAAAAAAAAAAAATTGGTATTAACTTCTCTAGAATCCTTTTTTTTTAATGGGGAGGGATGCAGCAAGACAGAGTGGAAGAGGGTGTCCTTAGATAATCTCAAAGCTCTTTTTTAGCAGTGAAGTCTGTGGATTCTAAGTCTTATTGTACTCTTTAAACTAGTCTGGGCAAGAAAGGATATATAACTCTTGGCTTAAAGTCTGTATTCTTAAACTTTGATGAGTTGAAGAACATGATTTGCCTGGAGTGGCTTAAATAGTATTATGAAATTTGTATCTTAAGGTCAGAGACTGAGTGAAAAGAGACCTTAAAAATAAAAAGTCAGAACTGTATTTTAAAGCAACTGTATCAGGATGCCCGGGTGGCTCAGCAGTTTATCACTTGCCTTCGGTCCAGGGGGTGATCCTGGAGTCCCAGGATCGAATCCCACATCGGGCTCCCTGCATGGAGCCTGCTTCTCCCTCTGCCTGTGTCTCTGCCTTTCTCTCTCATTCTGTCCCTCATGAATAAATAAAATCTTTTAAAAATTAATAAATAAAGCAACTGTATCATCCACCCACATGGGGTTGACTCTATTGCCTAACAGTATAGACCCTAAAATTAACCTCTTTAGGACAGTCTCTAAAGGATAACAAAGATGATATTATATATAAGTAAAATGATAAAGTGATACAATGGATCAGGTTTCTAAAAAAAAAAAAATCATACAAACTAAGACAGAATCCTACCTTTGTGCCTAACTACCTGCCTTTCCTTGGGTGATTTACTTAACTACCAGGAGCCATAGTTCCTTTGATTATCAAATGAGAATATAGATCCCTTATTTTCAGATTTTACAGAGGTGGCATGGTGCGTATACATTACCCAATAACTCCAGCAGGATCTGAAGCAGCACCCTATAAGTAATAGTACCATTTTTGCAGTGAAATACATGAAAAGTCAAAAGGACTATGAAAGGGACAACTTCCTCTCAGCTCAGATCTGGGTTGTCACCACACCAAGCCTGAGAACGCTTTTGATTGTTGGAGCTTTTTCGACTTCAGGTAAAAGATTATCATCTCATTTAATTACTGATATCATTAAAGAATATAAAAATGCATAAAGAATAGTGCTATTTCTATTATTATTCTTAAAAAATCCAATCACAAAGCATAGACTTCAAGTCCTCATGGTATAGCCAGAGACTGTCTTTGTTTTTTCAAGAGGAGAGACAAGATATGATTTATTTACAATCAGAACTACACTTGGGCATGAAATTCTATGGTGGGTGCTGGATAAAACAAGCACCCTGTGACTATATGTTGACATGGAGAAAAGGATTACAGAACGATGTTACATGGAGAGGCATAGTTTCATGTTCTCATTAGCTTTCTTTTTATGACTTAGTGTTTCTAATTTATACTCATTCCAACCATCTTTTGCCACTCCTTTCTGCAGACTTGTCACCCCAAGTGGTAGGCTTGGAGGTATGGGGAATAAGGATGGGGGAAGGCAAGACCATTCAGAACCCCCAATTCTATGTGATGTGATGGGTTGTGGCAGATCTGGGGCTGCTGGTATAAACCAGCAGATCCTCTGGGGGTGACTTCTCCTACCTCAGATTTAAATTAATCTATACAATTCCTTCAAGACTGAGGTCAAAACCAAGACTTAATTGTTGAACAGCACTGAGCTTCTTAAATAGTGAGCCGGGGAGGGGGGTAGGGGGCTGCTAGGTGGCTCAACGGGTTAAGTATCTGCCTTTGGCTCAGGTTGTGATCCCAGGATTCTGGGATCTAGCCCCACATCAGACTGTCTAAGTCAGTGGGTAGTCTGCTTCTTCCTCTCACTATCCCCATTTGTGCTCTCTCTCTTAGGTGGATAAAGGAAATCTTTTTTAAAATTAAAAAAATAATTAATGAGCCAGGAGCTGCATTTACTTTCCTACAGTCATGGCCTTTAGCACAGTTACTTTCAGTACTTTTCAGAGTATCATAGGTAAACAGCTATCCTAATGTGTTTTCACTAGCTATCCTAATCACTAGCTATCCTAATGTGTTTTCTTCAGAAAACTACATGTTAATATAATGGCCTGAGGATTGAGAAGAGGTAACTCTTAGTTTTAAAACATTCAAGTAGGGCAACCCCGGTGGCTTAGTGGTTTAGCACCGCCATCAGCAAAGGGTGTGATCCCGGAAACCCGGGATCAAGTCCCGTCTCGGGCTCCCTGCATGGAGCCTGCTTCTCCCTCTGCCTGTGTCTCTGCGCCTCTCTCTCTCTCTCTCATTAATAAATAAATAACCTTTAAAAAATAAATTAATTAATTAAAAAAAACATGCAAGTATTAGGGGCACTTGGTTGGCTCAGCCAATTAAGCATCTGCCTTCAGCTTAGGTCTTGATCCCAGAGTCCCAGGATCGAGCCCTGTGTCAGGCTCCCTGCTCAGTAGGGAAGTCTGCTTCTCCCTCTTTCTCTGCCATTCCTGCTGCTTGTACTCTGACTCTTTCTACCTCTCTGTCAAATAATACAATCTTAGACAGACAAACATGCAAATTTTAGTGACAGATGGGTTAGAATTATTACATATAGGTCAAGGACTAAGTAATGACTAAAAGCAAGGTTTAAAATTAAGGCTGTCTATTCAATAAATACCTATTATACCTTTTTATTTCTGAGGTAGGCTTTCTTGGCTGAAACCCGTCCACGTCTTGCTTCCAGCTGGCGTGCTTTCTGCTGAAGTTTCTGTAGCTCTTCTCTCTGTAAGTGCACAGACGCTGCCATCTCTTCCTTCTCCAGCATGGCCTCCATGCTTTCGTAAGTGTCATAGTATACCACTTCATCTCTCTTTTCTGTAACAGAAGAACAACGAAAGGTAGAGTTAAGAGCATGGGCTACAAAGTCAGACAGAACAAGATTCTAATTAACTTATTGGCTCTGTAACCTCTGTTTTTTCTTTTTTTTTAAGGATTTTACTTATTTGACAGAGCACAAGTGGAGGGAGCTGCATGCTGGCAGAAGGATAGGGAGCAGCAGAATCCCTGCTGAGCAAGGAGCCCAATGGGGCTCGATTCCAGGACCCTAGGATCAGGAAATGAGCTGAGGGCAGACCGTTAACCAACTGAGCCACCCAGGTGCCACAAACTTTTTTTAAAAGACTCAGTTTGATCCTGGTTAAGTACCTGATTCCTTTCCCGCCGCCCCCAACCCCAATAAGCTCTACAACCATCAAGGGGCTTGAACTCATGACCTCTTAACTTCTCTGTAAAAAAGTGATTATTAGGAAATATACCTTCTCGGGTGAGAGTGTGTTTAGAAAGTACTTAACAGTGTCTGGCATGTATTTATTTAAGTGCTCAGTAACTGTTACGTATCATCCTCCAAATTCAAAAATTTTCTGGCTGTAACAACCTTACAAAGTGAGTATTTTACAAAGCTAATAATACTGCTCAGTCTACTAAATGACTGGAGTTTAAGAGCTCCTCTAAAATGTTCTATGTTAAAACTTTTTTAGTCTCAACAGTTTGAAGAAATATAGCTGACAAATATATCTATCTTCTCTATGTATTCAATTTTTTCTGGATTTACATAGTTGAATGCACAATGTACCTGATATAAGTCTTTTGATGCTTTCCAGTTGTGCTGTCAATAACAACTCTTCACACTTCAGGATTTCAAACTGTACTTCATACAACTGAAGTTGCAGATCATAATAATCAGCTTCTAACTGATCCAATCGGGCTATGGCTTCTGTACCACCCTGCAAACTCTGCATCTGCATGAAGAAAAAAAAAAAACATTTTTAATTGGTGGGGACAAGAAATAATAAATTGGGGCACCTGGGTTGCTCAGACCATCTGCCTGTGGCTCACTTCAAGATCCTGGCGTCCTGGGATCAAGTCTCGCCATCAGGCTCCCCACAGAAAGCCTACTTCTCCCTCTGTGTCTTTGTGTGTTTCTTATGAATAAATTATTTTTTTTAAATGGATGTTCTAAGTTATTTAGTTTTGCTTTCCATAGATGAATGAGATTATATATGAATGAATAAGATTAAGCCAGACTGGGATGGTTACAACCAAGGAATAGAAAGTCTGGTTTCTCAACACATCCAGAGCTGTGTTGTTGTGCTCCATGGTCACAGCTTGGATAAGATCTAGAATCTGGTGAATGGAGAGCAAAGTAAGCGGGTGTGAGGAGAACAGCATGACATAACTGATTTTCTGGAAATCCCTGCGTCTTTGATAACTATTAGTATCTTTAAGTAAACGCGCTCGGGATCCTACATTGAACCTAAGGTGGAATTCAGATTTCTAAGCATGTCTCATGAAGCGGTGGAGGGTCCTACAGGAAGTTTGCTTGGCTGGTTGATTGGGTTTTGGTCCTGAATAGTTGGAGAGAAGAGATTTTGCCAGGCATTAGAAGGAAATTACTACCAGCAAGGTATGCTTCAGGTATTAGTCCCCAACCTCATTATTTCCGTGGATTCCTACTTGGATCTACAGAGAAAGGTAGCTATAAGGAGCTAACAGAATGGCTTTTCAGTAGGCTATGAAGTTCAAGCATGGGAGAGAGTAAAGCATTCCTTTGGGGACATTTCTTCTAAGAATACAGTGCTGTCACTTTGGCAGTGTAAAGGTTCACACTTAGAAATTTCAAGACACTACAGGCACCAGTGTGCCCTGAGGGAAGTAGCAGCCTTGGTGAAAAAGGCCCTGGCCTCAAATGGCATCCCAGTAAATCACTACCAAAGAGATGGAGGAACAGAGGAAAATGAAAGAAATATTTTGTGACCTCATGTGAGAGGTGATCTGGGGTCCCAGAATACTAAAGGGATACTTGGCTAGTAGTTTTGGGACAGTTGTGGCAACAAAGTTCATATTGCTGCAAAATAATCCTGTCTTGTAAGGTTGGTGAAACATGTTAGCACACAGAGAGACTATGTTTTAAACAAGAGTCCAGCCTTTTCTTTATGTTCTAGATACTCAACACAGTCTTACCTAAAAACTATTTTTTTAGCACATAATTTCAAGTTCCTTTTAAACTGCAAAGCAACATGGGGTACCTGAGTGGCTCAGTTGGTTAAGCGTGCTTTTAGCTCAGGTCATGATCTTAGGGTCCTAAGATTAAGGCCCATGTCATGCTCCACACTCAGCAGGGATTCTGCTTCTCCCCCCCTCCTGAGTCTCTCCCAACCACTTGTACTCACATGCTCACTCTCTCTCAAATAAATAAAATCTTAAAAGAAAACACTGCAAGGCAATAGTTGGGCTGTGATCTAAGTGTGCAATGGTACACATTTAAAAAAAAATAATCTGGTTAATTAAATACAATGTGAGAAATGCTATACAGATATACATATTTAATGAATTATAAGTCAGTGATCCTGGTGCATTAGAATATATTTTTTTGACTGACACAATAAATACAGAACAAACCACAAAAGGCTTTCATTATAGTGGCTTCTAGAGGAGAATGTTTTTTTTAAAGAAGAGAATGTTGACAAAATGAAATCCTGATGTTTTTGTCCTAAGTCATAAAATTTCTTTCGAGACTTCCAGTCTCGTTTTAAATTATAAATATCCCTTCACGCATGGTCTTGAGTCTCTTATCCAGCTTTGGAGACTAGCTCCAGAATGCATAATCTTTTAATCAGCAGCACACTTTCTGTGAGCACAGCATACACGTAAAATATGTAATGTTAGAAGGTTTTATTCTCTAGGGAATTATAATCAGTTAAGATGAAACCTTAGTATAAATCGGTCTAAAAACGTTCATGTAAGATCAGTTCCAGGGACACCGGTAGAAATCCAGGCTGTTAGTTGCACCTTCAATGTCTCTAGTTTTCTCTAGCTGGAAAGAACAATTTATGTGCCATGTTCATAATGCTGTGCTAAGGCTCCCCCGCTCCCCCCACCGCCAGGACTCTCCAAATTTGACTCTCTTATCTAATACTTTGGCTAAGGAAGAAAGCTGAGACACCCCTGTTGACGTACCTTTACATTGTCAGCCAATATCAAATACCAAACTTAAGAAGTGACCTTACCCCCCAACTTGCTGGTTTACTGAGTTCTATACAAAGCAAGGCTGTCCAGAGGTGGATCTACCATCACAAGGTTCAAGAAGGACAAAACCCTATCAAAGGCAGAAGTGCAGACAAAGAGGCAGAAGTGCAGACAAAGGATCTGTTGAATCCCAACCTCCGAGAGAGAAAACAAACAATAGGGGAGTGGTGGGCGTGGGGCAAGTAAAACGGTTTTAAGAATTTTATGGGCTATGCTAAGGAGAAAGAGATAAGAGACAAGTCAGGGAAATCTGGGAGGGCAAAACTGTCCTCTGAAGTTTATTTAAACTTTAAAATGGAGATGAAATCCTCAGTGAAAGATATGTAGACACAGGGGAAGGCTATGCTGCTCCAAATCTCTTCCCTACATTATCTGTAATTTTCAGACTGATTTTTTCCATACCTACATTTCAGCTGACCACAGAATTTTAAGAGAAGGGGAATCCATAGTGAAAGGAGTACTGACTCTGGACAAAGGAGCAGTGCAGAGAACTTAGGTGACACAGTTGGGGAACCTTTTTTTATGCCTGAGGGCACTGCTTCCCTGGACAAGAAGTAAGCTGAGTGCTTAAAGGAGATAATCAAATGCCAATGAAAACTCTGCTAGCTTGAAATTTTACTCAGCTCAACTTTTACCTTCTGCATAAACGTTTTTTAAAAATATTTATTTACTTGGGACACCTGGGTGGCTCAACAGTTGAGTGTCTACCTTCGGCTCAAGGCGTGATCCCAGGATCCGGGATCGAGTCCTGCATGGGGCTCCCTGTGAGGAGCCTGCTTCTCCCTCTGCTTGTGTCTCTGCCTCTCTCTGTGTGTCTCTCATGAATAAAACAATAAACCTTTAAAATAAATATTTACTAATTATGGGGGGGGGGAGGGACAGCCCGTGCACATATGCGCCAGGGGAGGGGCAGAGGAAAATGGGGAGAGTGAGAATCCCAGGCACACTCCCCACTGGGTGCAGAGCCCAACAAGAGAAGAGGCTCACTTCCACAACACCAAAATCAAAACCTGAGCCAAAAACAAGAGCTCGATGCTCAACCTACTGAGCCACCCAGTCACCCTCTAAATAAACAAAATAAACTTTTGATACTAGGATACCAAGATCCCAAAACAAACTGCCTTCCCACTATAACCCAGGTAATACCAGCAATGTCAGAGCCTTATTCAATTCTCCCAATTCCTACAAGATGGCCTTCCCATCAGACAAAAGTAGGGAGCACTATTACAGTAAGTATGGAAAAGAAAACAAAGTAAGTTTTTACAGTAAATCTAGCAAGGAAATGAAGTAAATATCCACACATCCATGTAAGTGCATCATTAACTGCTGACCCCAATGATGATCATTCCCACCATGCACAATAACAATATAATAGCTTTCTTGTATACCTATCTGAATTACAGAATATCATGTAACCACACAGAAAACAAGTTATACAAACTAATGTCCCTGTCCTGCCTTTCACCCTAGTGTGCTAGAAAAACCTCATGACATGTAAGAGGCTATGAAAAATAAAGTTTTCAGAGTATCTGCAGGTGGAGTCGTTCATTCAAGAAATACTCCCCGGGCATCTGCTGCTGTCTGAGTTACAGAGTATAGCAGTTAGCAATAAATAAAGTGAGCAAAGAGTCATCATGAAAACCTTGCACCCTATAAGAGAAATAATAAAGGCAAGCTCGGCAAGTTCGCAATCAACACTAGCCATTTTATTATGGGTAAATGATAGAACATGAGAAACGGTACAGATAATATAAGTAGAATATAAATAGAGTTTCCACAAATAAGAGCTGCACAAAAATGGGAGGATACATATAAACAGAAGGAATTATCTGGAATTCCACATTTCAGAAATTTTAGAAAACAGCCAGAATTTCTCATAATCCATCTGTAGGAAGGTATAATCTGAACTGATGTGAATCCCTATTTATTCCTTTTAATATGTTTCATTAGTGGAATAGTAACACCTGTCTGGAAGTTATATATCCTAAACTATTCTCTGAAATCTGAAAAACTTAGAATTCTAAAACAGATCTAACCTCAGGGATTTCAGATAATAACTTATAGGTTTACAGCATAAAGGGTTATGTTCTAAAATTAAATGAGACTATATAATGCACTAAAAATAAGGCATATAACGTTTAAAACTTTATTTTTTATGGCCAGTATCAAAATATAATTTAGATGGCTAAAACAGAATTTCATAAGTAAAATAATTTAAAACTTTTAGAGTAGAACTTAGCTTTTTGTACTTAGAGAGACTTTGAAATTTCTAGCACAGAGATTACTATTACAAATTAAAAATGAAAAACCAGCCTCTCTGCCTGGACAAGCATCCCAGCTGTTCCGATTGTGTCCACCACATCAAAGCTCCTCGCTGTTGAAAGTTTTCAGCAAGGCCCACTTGAAATGCAACTGACTGTCTTATGCATGGGAATTACATTTTTCCCATCTTTGTTTTCCCTTGATACTTGCATAATATCTAACATAGATTAAGGTAATAATGTCTAATATTTATTAAGTTCTTACTCTTCATGCCAGGCATTATGCTAAATGCTTATACATTGACCAATGGAATCATAATGTTCCTAAAAGGTATATGCTAGTCATATTTTATACAGAGGTTAACTAATTCAATCAAGGTTATATAAGTAATAAGTTTGCAGACTCAGGATCAGGATCTACATTACTCTGTCCAGCATAATAGCCACAAGCT